AAGCAGAGAAAGTCAATTATCATATGGTTTCACTTATTTGTGGAACATAAGGAATAGCATGGAGGACATTAGGAGAAGGAAGGGAAAAATGGAGGGGGCGGGAATCGGAGGGAGAGATGAACCATGAGAGACTACGGACTCTGAGAAACAAACAGGGTTTTAGAGGGGACGGGGAAGGGGGGATTGTTTAGCCTGGTGATGGGTATTAAGGAGGGCACGTACTGCAGGGAGCACTGGGTGTTATACAAAAACAATGGATCGTGGATCATCACATCAAAAACTAATGATGTATTGTATGGTGATTAACATAACATAATAAAATTTAAAAAATTAAAAAAAATAAAAGTGCTTTTACTGAACAAGGGCTCACGTTAGGCCATTGAATTGCTTCATGGGTCTTGAAATTTATCATGGTTTCCTGTAGCGAACAGTTGTGTCATTACCGAGCAACTTGTTTGTGTTACCTTGTGGTCCTAGTGGATTGTGTGAACCCTGAGGATCTGCTTGGAAGAGCCGAATCAAACAGTGGGGCTACCTCGTGCCAGTGCACAGCCCCAAGAGCACATGTGTGATACTCTTTCCCATCATCTCATGCTTTCCCTCTTTTAATATTTCTTTACTGCATTTACTTTCTTTTGTCTTTTTGACATTGGAGGAGAAATAAATCTGAAACTTGGGAGGGAGGTTAGAAATTATTCTGAGATCTAGACCTTTGGTAACCTGCAAAGATTATGGGAAACACTAGCAGGGTGGTGACTTGCTTTTAGTTTATAATCCTGCCATGGTGTAGAAGTTATTCGGTTATTGGGGAGTATGTTTCAGAATGCCCGCACAGTCAAAAGGAAGGCAACTTTGGTTTGTTAATGCTACTGGAGAGGGACAGGCTGAAATGGGGCAGGGTGGAAGAATCTGTGGGCTTCCTAAACCAGCCTGCTGCAGAGGCAGGGGCTCAGCAGAAGTCAATCAGCCGCAGGGGCTGATGGAATTTGGTATAGCAGATGAGAACAGGGTGAGACTGTAGGGTGAATCAGATGGGAGGACTAGGGTATAGGTAAAAAGAGGGGTCATCCATCGATCCATTCATTCACTTACTCTACAAATAATTACTGAGCGTTTTCAGTAAGGTCCTGAGTAGTGCGAGGGACAACTGAGCGAACATCACAGTCTTCTGCGGGAAGGAGGTATTAAATACTTAATTATGCATGTAATTTATTACTTGCTATTGTGTTAAGAGCTGTGAAGGAGAAGCCTCGGTTGCTACGGAGAATAGCTGAAAGACAACACTGTGGTCAGAGGGAGTTTTGATTGGTCAGGTTCTGCAGAAAATTAGAGGAAAAATGGGTTAGGAAGACTTCTAAACTGCAAATATGAGAAGAGGGACAGGATTGCTAGGAAGGCGCATACGCTGTCCACTAGGTGATTTTCTTCCTTGGCTCCGGTCCCTCTTCCACCTTGCCCGGCTGCCCCCTGCTGTGCCCTGAGGATGTGATGCAGCTGCTGGGGAGAAGGCAGGATGAGCTCTGGCCACAAAGGAGATTATGGGCTCTATGTTTCAGAAAGAAGGGCTTCCGAAATGGGAGTCTACTCACTTTCGTCTGTCCTACCGAGCGCGCCGAGGACATCCTTATCCTCTTCTTGATAAGCCACGGGAACTGCTAAGCTCTGAGGTTTAAGGTTTGAAATCTGCCGTTAATCCAATCTATCCTGGACACAAAAGAGCGAAAAATTAATTCTAAAAACTTAATGGTGGAGCTTGCTTTGTCCCCTTGCAGGGTTCGTACAGGAAGGTGACCCGTGATTTGATTTCTTTCTAAACTGAAACCTGGAGGGATTGATTATATATTGCTAACATTTCCCTGCTATATTATTATTATTATTATTATTATTATTATTATTATTATTATTTTACAAAGCAGGCCTCTGTGGAGGCTTTGTTGCTATCAGGAATGTGTAGGCTGGACCTCATGGCTTCCTTCTCACAGAACAATGCCACTAGAAGTGATGAAGTTGCAGCATTTTTATTGAGTTTTCTTTGGGCGGAGCTAAGGGCCAGCCACCCTGGAAGAGAAAGCAGGGATCTAGCGCAACACACAAGCTATGTAGGTCACTTTCTCCCTCCAGCTTGTCCTTGGTTGGTTGGAGACTTTTTACAGTTGATGAAAACATAAGAAATCACTGAATTCTCATTTTAATCCTTGAAGACACTATTCTGGCTATAACATTATTTATATTCCACTTATTTTCATGATGAACTTCCTGTCCCAAATGTAGTCAAAACGTTGTACTTGCGTAACAAATGCATTCCAAGTATTGCTGGGAACTCAGTGATTCTGCTTTCTGCCTCTCCCTTCTTTCTGCACACTGAGGTTCAAGTTTGGGGTTTCCTGTTGCCTCTGCAGCCAGGAAGGAATGCACAAACATAATATTCGGTTTCTTAAGTTTGAAGATTCGGATGTGAAAATTGAGAATCTAGTAAACCGGACTCTTTAAGCATACTTTCAGTGGTCTTTGACTTAAATTAAGAAATTAATCTTAATATTAAAATTAGAGTCATTTTTCTTTTAAAGATTGGAATATCACAAATGGAGCTACAATTTCCTTTCCCTGTGATCTCTAATCTGGACCCTCTTCCTCCATTCCAGAGGTAATTATTAGATAAGTTTGGTGAGCATCCGCCAGACCATTAAAAAAATATTTTTGGGGGGCCGCCTGGGTGGCTCAGTCCGTTAAGTGTCTGACTCTTGATTTTGGCTCAGATCATGATCTCAGGGTCCTGGGATAGAGCCCCGTGTTGAGCTCTGCGCTCAGTGGGGAGTCTGCTTCTCCCTCTCCTTCTGCCCCCACGACCCCACTCCCTCTCTCTCTCCCCCCTCAAATAAATAAATAAATCTTTAAAAATATTTTTTCCATTTTTACTTATACCTATAGAAGATATATTATTTTAACATATATTCTTAACCATAAATAGTATGTTAGTTTTCCTCTCATTTATTTTAAAAACAGTGTTTTTAAGATCTATTCATGTTGCCCTAAATAGACTTAGTTTGATTCTTTTTTTTTTTTAAGATTTTATTTACTTATTTGACAGAGAGAGACAGCAAGAGAGGGAACACAAGCAGGGGGAGTGGGAGAGGGAGAAGCAGGCTTCTTGCTGAGCAGGGAACCCAATGCAGGGCTCGATCCCAGGACCCTGGGATCATGACCTGAGCTGAAAGCAGACACTTAACGACTGAGCCACCCAGGTGTCCCAAAATTGAAATATTTTCTTAATGAACCTCTCATAAATAATTTTGTGTACCCTCTGTAGCCATCAACCCACTTTGGGGACCACAGCCCTTACCTTCTACACTTGTTTTTAGGTCTCCCCCTTGAATATAAGCTCCACCAGGGCAGACCTCATGTCTGTTTCCCAGCACTGCATCCCCCGTGTCTGTAACAATGCTGGGCAGAGAAGGCACTTATGAAATACATGTTGAGTATTAGTAACTGAATAAATGATTTGGCTACAAGGTTGTGGGTTTGAAGGCAGAACCTAGAAATTAATTATATTTGTATCCCTAGTGCCAGGTACCTTTCCTAGGATATGAGGAGCACCTCCATAAATGTCTGTTGAGGCTATCCATTCAGTATTTGTTAAATAAATGAATGGATGGAGGAGTAGATGAACAACAGAATGGAAAGGCTTATTCCCCTTTGTTCACATCTCTAAGGTTAGCATATCAAACATAAAAATACCTAGTTGCACTTACTTACTTATTTATAATAACACCTGACTAGCCCTAAACCTAAACCATGGCCCCTTAGAAGAAGTACAGGTGAGGGATGCCTGGGTGGCTCAGTCGGTTAAGCATCTGCCTTTGGCTCAGGTCATTATCCCAGAGTTCTGGGATCGAGCCCCGCATCAGGTTCCTTGCTCAGTGGGGAACCTGCTTTTCCCACTGCTTACAACTCCCCATGCTTGCTCTCTCTCTTTCTGACAAATAAGTAAATAAAATCTTAAAAAAAAAAAAAAAAAGACTTCACTAAGAAAAAAGAAGAAGAAATAGTAGCAATAGTAGTAAAAGTATAGGTGGAATTTCACTCATCTCTTATAAAAATAGAAAATAATAAACTTCATGTTTTTAAAACCAGCCCTGGCTAGAGATCAACCTAGAATAGAAATATGAGCTTTAGAAGAAGCTGGAGAGGACAGGAGATAGTTGACCAAGGGGGAGGAAAGGCCATGAATTGTTCATCCACATCTTGTTAGATAAGGATAAAAGTATGAAACATTTATAAAATGCTTCCCTTGAAGGAACCAAAATTATGAATCTCAATCCTTGTTAGGATGAAGGTCCATTCCTATTTAATTTCTAATTTTTCTGAATCTTGTTGTGAAAATATCTTAGCTAATAAGTTTGCAATTATTTCTTTAACTTGTCCTGCCTTTAGAAGCTTGTTAGGGCCTGAGCAACAGCCAATCTTGATCTCAAGGTTTTACAGACCAGATGTACAAGGTTTTATATATGGGAAACTACATCAGTCGACTCTCTATAACTTCAGTATCTTTATTCCGTAACCTCGCTGATATAAGGCACTTAAATTCACTCATTAGTCAGAAAACATTAAGATCTTTTCCTTCAGATGTGACTGTAATAAATAACTCATTTCTAAAATTAGCATAAATGTGGAACTTTTCTCTGAAGCTCTTTAAGCAACGATTAGTCCCTCTTTGCTTATTTCCATTCCTACAGTGGATATTATGTAAATGTAAACTCCACGAAGGCATCATTATTACCCTTATTTAGAGCCACCAGGTAGTAAATACTTATCATGCTAGGTCTGTATTAAGCATGATTCAAATACCATGTTACTTAATTCCAAGAGCAACCATGTGAAACTGTTACTACTATCTATAACAAGGAAATTTAGATTCAAACAGGAAAAAAATCTAATCAAATCTTACAGCTGTATTTTTCTGAATTTTCCCCTTCCCTCCCCTCCCCTCTTCTCCCCTCCCCTCCTCTATCAATCTCTCTTACTCTGGCTCCTCTACCCAAACACCTTATGGCCTGCTTTCAGTCCTTATATTGGCCTTCCCAAGCCTCAATCTTAACGAGTTCTTGTGTTATTTGATTTCATAGCACCCAGGCCTTATCCTTCATATTATAACTATTATTTATATGATTAGTTATTTCATATCTACTTCCCCTGCTAGATTATGAGGTCCCCAGGAGGCAGGAAAATGCCTGTTTTGTTCACCACTATGTCCCCAGTGACTGGGTTTCAGTTAAATACTAAAAAATGGATGAAGGACCAAATGAAATGGCACAGCCAAAATCAAAACCAGACCAAAGTCAGACAAGTCCATCTGACTCCAAAGCCCAAGCTCTTAGTTACCATGTTGTTTTCCCATATATATCTATTTAAATGTTGAAACAATCGTTTCTCCCTAAACTGAATTATTTTCTCACTCTTGATATTGCTGTATGCGAATCTGGCCATTGCAATAATGAGTTCCATTTCCATAAGTAATGTTAAGTTCAAAGTATAAAAAAGTATAAATTCATAATTAAATTTTCCAATTACTTTTTGGAAGGTGCATTCTGTTTTCTACAAGTTCATAAATGTCATACAGGTCAGGTCCAGCCAATTTAGAAGCTAATATTTTAGTTCAATATAAAGTTCTATGAAGTTATTTTTAATCTGTTTATGTTAGCAAGATAACTTCTCAGACCGGATGCAAGGCAAATCACAAGCAAATTAGTTAACTTCAGGCCGAATTTTAAGCGCTAGCAGTTTTTCAGCATTCAAATTGGATATGGCCTCATGGGAGTACTGGGTTTGGCAGTCAAGGCTAATAATGAATACAAATTTGAAAACATGTCACAAATGGAATAGCTTCTGTGAGAGAAGTGGTGGAAACCAGAATCTTCATTGACAACTAGATGGGATATTTTATTTATCATTATCCTATATACATCTTTTCACATGCTTAAGTTCTAGAATTCTTTCCAAATGGGATTTTTCCACTCCATATATTATAAAACACTTGATAAATTATTGTAAAGTGAAAAAGTTTTCAAGAAATAATATTTTAGTTCCTATGCAGAGTAGTGTGCTTCAAACTTTAATTGTTTATTCAAACCGGCTCTTCAGGAATGTTTCCCTTAGAAGGGACTTGAGATACAGTCTATCCCATCCTCCAAAAAAGTAATTCTCTAACACCATAGAATTGTCATGAGGAGACTTCATTTCAGTACTCAACAGTTCCATGTCAGCCTACGGAAGAGTAAGCCATGATAAGATAATTTTTCCATTACCTACCTCTTAGTATTACCTCTTCTATTACTTAACAATGCTTTCTAGACAGTGCTTCTACACAGTTTCATCTCCCTAATGTCGCAAACTTGAATAAATAGAAATATTTTAATATTGCTTTTAAGGAAATGCCAGCCTACACATTTGCCTTCTTGAAAGGAGTATAAGCATTCTTCTCTACCCAGACAGCATGATTTTAAAATCATGAACCAAAAATGGACTTAAAATACTTGGCTAATTATTGGGGCGCCTGGGTGGCTCAGTCGGTTAAGGGTCTGACTCTTGGTTTCAGCTCAGGGCATGATCTCAGGGTCGTGGGATAAGCCCCATGTGGTGTCAGGCTCGGCACTCCCAGCAGGGAGTCTGCCTGTCCCTCTCCCTCTGCCTGTGCTCCCCTCTTCTCTCAAATAAATAAATAAAAATCCTTAAAATAAAAAACAACTTGGCTAATTACTATTAAAAAAAAACAACAAAAAAACCCCATGATCACTGTTTTTGGCAGCTATTCCCTAAAATTCTAATTGTCGATTCTAGATAATTCCATCCAGTAAGTCAACTCATTCCATTACTTGGAGTATATTGTGTTAGTAGATAGGGCCGGCGGGTCCAGGAGGATGTAGCTCGGGGCCCCTATTTAGAGGATCCACAGAAGCTTTCAAGAGCTATAATGCTCTGGATTTTCAGAAGAGGGCTTTCTGAAAGAGAATGCTTTAAAATATTTAAAATTTCAAAAGCATGGCTTTGCATATAAATAACAAAGCCTTGAGGATTCACAGCATGAAAATTATTCCTTTAGATTGTAGCGTAGAGAACAGTTCATGCTGGAGAATCATTTTCCCACCTGAAAGGTGATGCGTGGCTCCAGGCCCTGGAAAAAGGAGACATGACCTGCACTTAGGTGTTGCCTGCCCTCTTGGGACCTAAGACCTGAGATGAGTGGGGAGGATAATAAAAGCTCCTGCTACCTCCCTGGCTTCCCACGATGTTGCCCCTGGAGATGGATGCCTGCTGGAGAGCCCTACAGGCAGCAAGAACTGCAGCTCCTCGGAGTGGAATGAGTGACAATGACTGAGTGATGGGCCCACGGGGCCGCGGGCAACTCTGCCTTCTGTAGTCACTTCTCACGCAGGGAAAGGAAACCCTACCCCGGTTCCCCATTTCCCCAAGGAAAGCAAAAACGGACACAGAGACAAGACTACAGACGTAAAGGGACTTGGAATGGGCATAAGGAACCTGCTGCACGGCTGGACCTTGAGAAGCCAGAACAAAGCCAAGGACTTCAGCAGAGACCGATGTCCAAGTCCCCAAGGGAAGTCGGAGCCAAGGCGGCAGAGGATGGTCTTCAGCCCAAACGCTCCGCCCTGCGCCCCATGCCAAGCTACTCAAAACCACGCCCATCCCCACCTGCAGAAACTTGGTTCACCTAAGAGAGATGGGGAGTGAGGAAAACCATTGGAATAAGTTCCCCTGAATTGACAAGGTGGTCTTTTTCTTCTAAAGGGAGGAAACAGCATCTCCTGGGTTAAGCCCAATTGTTAGAGAAAGTTGCCTTTTTGCCAGCCTCAGTTACACACTTTATACTCACACCTATGTCCTCTCTGTACTTGAGGCACGGTCCAGAGAGAGCTAGCTATCCTTTGCTCAACACCAAAACAATAAAAAATTTAAATGTAAAAAATACCCTGATATGTGAGCAAGAAAGTAATAGCAACAGATTAACTCGATATTGCTCAGGTTCTAGAAATTAGAGGGGCAGAAAGTATTTCTCCAGAGAAGTCACTTCTTTAAGGCAGAGGTTAATGTACTTCAGCATTAGGGATAAATGTTATGAGAAACCTTCCTATGAAGAAAGGCTCTGCATTGAAGATGCCATCCACTGTGTATCAGCACAACACTTCACATTTGTTTGGAAGGCCGTGGCCCAAAGTGGGGAGTGCTGGGTGTGAGTTGTGAGGTTAAGAGTGGGTAGGCTAACTTTAGCAAAGACTGACTATTGGTCAGGTGGGCTGCTGTAACAAAACACCACAGACTGGGTGGCTTCAGATACAGATGTTTATTCCTCACAGTTATGGGAGGCTGGGAAGTCCAAGATCAAGGTGTCGCTGATTTGGCTCCTGGTGAGAACTCGCTTCCCAGCTTGCTGATGGTCATCTTCCTGCGGTGTTCTCAAAAGGCAAAGAAAGTTCCAGTCTCTTCCTCTTCTTATAAGGACACTCATCCCATCATTGGGGCCCAGCCTCATGACCTCATCTAAACCCAGTCACCTCCCGAAGGCCTCCTCTCCAAATACCATTACACTGAGGGTTAGGGCTTCAACATGTGAACTGGGGAGGGGCACAAACGTTCAATGAACAATAGACTGCACGTTGAATTGCATAGAGTGGAAACAGGTGAATTCAAAGTAGAAGCAGTTGTGGGGCACTGGGGATTGAAGTAGTTGATTCACATTTCCATTCACCAGTGATGTCTGCCTGATTTCTTCCTACTTCCTAATAATCCAGGTCCACATTGACCGATTCCAAGCATGGAAGCTTCCAGAGGTCTCTGGGAAGAACAGTTCTACCTCCACTGCTGTCTTCTCCTCCTCTGTCATCGATCTACCTGATGACGCCCCTATCTTTGCATTTTCCAGAATGGTTAAAAAAAAAAAAATCTGGTCGTATTCCCAGCACTGTTGGGAATGATGCTGTTTTTTATTTTTTCCTCTCTTTTAATGCGGTTCAGAGAAGCAGCAGACAGAAGCACACAAGCTCAGTCTACTATCTAGAGTGAAAAGCCCAGATCAAGTATTAATACTCCAAAGAGGACACTGAGGCCTGGAAGGGTTAAGGGACGTTCCTAAGTTCTCACCGTCACCAAACAGTGGGGCTGACTTATGCCATATGTTCTCACTTACTATTTTATATATGTTTCCGGTATAAAATATTTTGGAAATTATGATTAGTTTATTAATATTTCTTAGAAAACTTGAGGTGGAAATGAACCTGAACACATAAAGAAACCAGACCTGGAGAGATTAAGTCAGCTCATTTCAGAGTGAATAATATCCGGGTCTCTTCACTCCAAGGTTAATATTCTTTTGAGGCCAACAAATATTTGCTCAATAAATGAATAAAATGATGAGTAAACAATTTTCTTTTTTTTTTTAAAGATTTTATTTATTTATTTGAGAGAGAGAGAATGAGAGACAGAGAGCACCAGAGGAAAGAGGGTCAGAGAGAGAAGCAGACTCCCTGCTGAGCAGGGAGCCCGATGCAGGACTCGATCCCGGGACTCCAGGATCATGACCTGAGCCGAAGGCAGTCGCCCAACCAACTGAGCCACCCAGGCGCCCCGAGTAAACAATTTTCTTAACAGGTGCCTATCACAGGAAGACCTTATTCCCTTCGGATCTTTTCAGTTTTCCTGTCTGCTCCCCCTCAACCATTGCATATTCAAATTCAGTGTTTTAAAAATTCCTCCTTACACTCTCCCTGGAAAACCTCTTATTTCAATAGTTGTCTTGAGAGGGGCCCCTGGGTGGCTCAGTCGTTAAGCGTCTGCCTTTGGCTCAGGTCATGATCTCAGTGGTTGTCTTGACAAAAAGCAAAAAACAAACAACAAAAAAAACCCTCTTATTTCTCTGGCCTTCCTTTACTCGTGACTTCAAGAACCATCTATGTGCTGAGGTGCCCCAGGTATATGATGATGCCCACCTGAAACCTCTCTATTGGGCTCAGGATCTACACCTAACTGCCCAGGGGATATCACCCAGATAGCACAGACACCTCCCCCCCAACATGTCCAATACTGAACTCATGCTACTTTCCCTCAACCTGCTCTTTCTCCATCTCAGCGAACGGCAACAAACACCCACCCAGTTCCTTGAACCAGAAGCCCGTACTTTACAATTTCTCTCTCTCGCCTCCCAGTTTCAACGCTTCTGTCTTGATTCTCACACCTAAGCAACTGTTCACTTTCAACGTCCGTGTATGCCTGCCATGCTAGGCTAGATTGCCACCACAGCCTCCAGAGAGTCTCCTCAACCTCAGACTTATCCCCACCCTCACCCCCCCCCAACCAAGGGGCTAGTCCATTTGTTGCCAAAAGATTCTTTTTATTTTTATTTATTTTCTTAAGTAGGCTCTAGCCCAACATGGGGCTCAAACTCTGGACCCCGAGATCAAGAGTCACATGCTCTACTGACTAAGCCAGCCAGGCACCCCTAAAGGGATCTTTTTAAAATGCAGAACTGTTCAATATATCCCAAGACTTAAAATTCTCCAGGGGCATCCCTTGCCCATAGGGCAAAATCCAAATTCCTATAAAGTCCTGTATGATCTGACCGTTGCCTGCTTCCCCAGCTTCCACACCCATGACTTCTCACCTCACTGTGCTCTCCAACCACTCTCCAGCCACACTCCAGCCACACTGGCCTTCTGTGGTTGCCTGAGTGGACTTTGCTTCCTCCTCTCCCACAGCCAGCATCCATGCCTTGTGCTGTGGAGAAGACATATCCAACACAACTGCCCCCGATCCTTTGCCTCACTGACTCTTACCTTCCACAGCTCAGCTTAAAGTTCACTTCCTGGGGGAAGACTGCCCTGACCACCAAATCCGGGGAACACTTTTTTTTTAATTAGTTTCAGAGGTAGAATTTAGTGATTCATCAGTTGCACATAATACCCAGTGCTCATGACATCAAGTGCCCTCCTTAATGACTGTTACCCAGTTACCCCATCCCCCCACCCACATCCCCTCCAGCAACCCTCAGTTTGTTTTCTAGAGTTCAGCGTCTCTTATGATTTGCCTCCCTCTCTGTTTTCATCTTATTTTTCCTTTTCTTCCCCTATGTTCATGTTCTGTTTCTCCACATATAAGTGAAATCATATGGTACTTGTCTTTCTCTGACTGACTGGTTTCACTTAGCATAATACCCTCTGGTTCCATCCACATCATTGCAAATGGCATGATTTCACTCTTTCTGATGGCTGAGTAATATTCCATTGTGTATATATACCACATCTTCTTTATCCATTCATCTGTCGATGGACGTCTGGGCTCTTTCCATATTTTGGCTATCATGGACATTGCTGCTATAAACATTAGGGTGCAGGTGCCCCTTCGAATCACCATGTTTGTATCCTTTGGATAAATACTGAGTAGTGCAATTGTTGGGTTGAAGGGTAACTCTATTTTTAATTTTTTGAGGAATTTCCATACTGTTTTCCAGAGTGGCTGTACCAGTTTGCATTCTCACCAATAGTGTAAGAGGGTTTCCAGGGAACACTTTTGCTCCTCACCTGACTTGACCTCCCTTGGGCATGTGCCACACAAAGCACACTCTCCTTGAACTCTCCTTACTCATCTCCTTCACCTCTCTGCATCGCTCCCTCCTCTGACTTACCTGCCCCCCCCCCCCGCAGTCCCTCCTGCAGCTCGTCCTCCTTCACCACTCCTTAACTTGATATTTTCTGGGGATCTGTCTTCAACCCTCTGTCACCAGAAACACCTTCTCTGGCCAACTTCCTGCCCTGCTGAGATTTCAGCCAGTCTGATGGCTCCCAAATCTGCACCTCTAGCTAGAGATCCATTTCCAACCATCTACTGAACATTGCCTGAATGTCCTGCTGACACTTCAAAGTCAACATCACCTCCCCGCCACCACCAGAAGCCAAACTTGCCCAGCTCCATCCTTGCCCCTGGTCTACTAGAGCACCCTGTGTAATTGTTTTTGTATTTCCTGCTAGATCCTTATCTGAAACCATGTCTTTACTCTAGGCATGCTTTCCGCCATCATTTTTTAAACTTTTATGTGTTACCATTTATTATTTACTGGACTACACTGCAAGCTCAATAGTTAGGAAGAGCAAGTCTTCTACTTTGTCACTCCATTTGTTGCAGGCACATGTTTCTTAAGTTTTATTTCAATCTTACAGTAAAGTTGCAAGAATAATCCAATAAACCCAAGTATATGCTTCACTTGGATTTGCCAACTATGAGAACATTTTGCCACATCTGACTGATTGCTTTCTCCATGAGTTTATTACAACTATGACTGCTGAACCATGGGTAATTTGCCAACATCATGGCCCTTCACCCCCAAATACTTCAGCATGTATCTCCTAAGAGCAAGAACATCCCTTTGCATAAAACAGTCAAATTTAAGGAATTTAATTATGGCATCATATCATTCACCAATTATTTCAGTAATGTTCTTTGGAGCATTGGTAACTGCATGGCGTGTGTTGTCAAGTACCTTTAGTCTGTCTGACGTGCAACGGATCCTCTGCCTCTCTTGGGCTTTCATAACATCAGTGATGAGATGAACTGACATACGGCTCCTAACATGGTGCACTGAGAATACAACATCTCTCATAGAGAATTACCATAAATGCCAAAAAGGATTAAGCTGAATC